CTTAGCAAGCTAGCAAATTATATATCTTAGCTAATGCTAGTGCTACTAGCTCATTAAGTTTCTCATAAATAAAATAGGTAGTACACAGGATGAATTTAAAGTTGTCCTTTAAAAAGCAAGCATGCCTGATTTATGTGCTTTATTTACTCAAACTATATAGCCAACAGGATGAGTCCTATTAGCTTTGCTAGCTTACTAAATTGATAATATTAGAATTGAGAAACACAAAAGAGTGAATGGGTGCAGGAGGCAAGTGCAACATGTAGGTTCTAGAGCGTGATATAGGCGATTTTTAAACACCCATTTATTTTCCCTTCATTACGGATTTTCCCGACATTCAGGAATTATAGCCTACAAAATAAGTACAAAGTGACAACGTTCTCTGGCGTTTACGTCTGCAGCAGTAGTGCACATTTGGCTGATTACTGATTTGTCTTTCTCTTGCCGGTTGATGAATTGATCTCTTGCAGATTAATTTATTTCTTTGCTTTCTAACTTGAGACGGGACTGAGGTTAGATGACTTCTGGCACCTGTAAAAACTACAAAGCTCAGTGTACAGCCTACAGCGCAGTTGTTCATAAATACCATTGGCAGGGATGAACACTCTGCTGTCGGAGGTTTTCCTCTTAGCAATGAGACTGTCTTGCATCTGTTTTTCTCTTTTAGCTCTCGCCAACGAATAAAACACAGCTTGCAATTTACTTATGTTTGGTATTTTGGCTCTTTTTCTCTTACTCACTTCCTCCTACAACATCTGTCCATACTGAGAATACAGAGCCAACTTCTTCTTATAGCAAGCTGAAGCCATAGTTGGTCTTGTCTGATGTGGTGCCGTAAAACTTTATGCAGTTCTCGCGAGAGGTTTTGTGCCCACCCCTCCAAAGTTACATAGTGCTATAGCAGGTATTCTGGGACCAGAGTGGCAGTGGCAGAGACGCCATTCTCCGTATTGTAAGTCAGTGTGCCATCCAAATGAATTTGAAGCTGAAGTTATTTTAAGGCTAAATTGTTACATAATGTTGATTTAACCTACTCAATCGATGTTGACAGTCAACTGTCATCTCTCTCACCAAGCAACTGACGATCTGTGCGCAGCTGAAATGTAAACACATAATCAAAATAACATTAATAATTTAAGTTGTGAATAATGTGAGAGTGCCCCCTGCTGTTTATCGGTGTCGTCACTCTTTAGTTACTGTCTTCTTATTCGTTGTGATGAGATTTAAGTTGTATTGAGAGATAAATTGAAGCAGGTGTGTTAAATTATGAGTTTGTAAATACTTTTAAATGGTCAGTGTGAAGACTTTTTCTGATGTAGTACATCACTGCAAACCAATGGAATATTTTAAAAATACTTCTTTTATTTAAACATATTTGTTGCAGGTAAATTGACTTAATTATAAAATCTTTTTGAAACATAAAAAAAAAAATCACTGCTTGCTTTTACATGTTCAGGTTGCAGAACACATTGAGGAGATGAGAGTGTTGACTCGAATGTTGAAAAGAATCAGTTTGGTCAGCTGAGCTTGATCTGGAGTGGTTGTTGGTCTTGTGTGCCGGAAGTGCTCTGTTTGGTGCCGTGCTGCTCGTTCCCAGATGGCCCGGCTTAAACTCATGTATCACTCAGGCGAAATTATTCAGTGTTGGGCTTGGAGCTCCAGCAGCCTGTGCAGTCATGGTGTTCTTTAGCGATGTGACACGCCGCCTCTATTTAAAACACCCTTGGCTGCCTCCCGCCCGGCTGCCGCGAGCGCTCTCCTCTCAGAAGGAGCTGGTTATGAAATATGCATCCAAACAGCCGAGCCCTTGCTAGTGTCCTGAACAGAGAGCCCTCTACCCCACCGCAGATGTGGGCAAAGTCAGAACGAGGCAGCAGCCCAGCCTTCTGTAGTGTATAAATAACTTCCGAAAAGTGTTTCTGGCCTTTTTCGGTTTGTTGCACACAGGATCGCATTGGTTCTCTTAGTGTCTGTCCCTCTGTTTCTCCCTCTTTCTCTGTCTTTCTCTCTCTTCCTCTTTCTGTCCTTATATTGCATGAGTTCCACTTTGATTATAGCTAGGGGTGGACATAGTGATTCAAATATGCAGATGTACAAACTTACAGTACTTGTTTACTTAATTGGGTGAAGCACCATCAGGCTATCAGACTTCAGTAGTTTAAGTTAAACAGTGCTTTGCTGAACTGTATAATTGTCAGTTCTCACTTGTCACATTTCTAAAATTCAACAGCAGAAACTAAAGTCCTAAATAATGTAAATTTTGTTGCATGGAGTACAGCGCTTCCCAGAATTCTTACAGGCTTTCTGTTAAAACCTGCTAAAACCATACTACCATATTAATTAATATGTCAAAATTAGTATGCCACATATATAAATCTCTTCGTTAGTATAATATGTATAGTATAGTGGTATGTGGTTTTGGCCCATGCCTTAACAGCCCATGCCTTAACGGCAAGCAAGCGTTCAAATGTAGTATTATGTCACAAAGCCTCCAAGATGTCTATACTGAAGACGTTAAGTGCACACATGAATTCAAAATGTGATCAAACCAGAAATAGCTGCTTTACAGACAGAGCTGTGCAGCCGTGGTCTGAGACACTGATTTAATAGAGTGTATAACAGGTTATGTTTTATCCCAACGTTTAACATCAGCAGTCTAAATAACATAATATATCATTATTTCACCCAGGTGGTGGGTAGCTCAGTTATATCTGCTAAGTCTACTTAGCTAACACCAGAAAGTTAACATTAATTTTTCTCATCTCTCAAACTCAGCAGCCTTGTTAAAGTTTGACTTTGTACCTACCAATAGTGTAGGTGTAAATTTTAAGTTGTAACTTAGGAGTATGCAATTTTAATAGCTCATAACCTTGAACGTAGTGAGAATTTACATTCAGACTAGGCAACGATTGAATTTATGTTCAACTGGCGCAGCTAGCTACAGTTACCCTCACATCCAGCACAGTCCACTAAATATTAGTGTACGCCTGTGCCTGGTGATGGTTACAGCCCCCAGTAATGGTAAACACTTATTTACCATTGGTTCATTTATGGATTCTTTGAATGCAGACCTTATCAAGGCACTAGTATTCCAACACAGAAAAATAAATGACCTTTAAAAAATGAGGCATACTGTCATATCCTACTGTGATAAAATATTCAGACATCTATAATACCTTGTAAATACTACATCCGCATACATATCACAGGAGCTCAAAGTGTGCCAGTCGTTAGAATCATATAATTAATGTTATTCTGCCTGTGTCAAAGATAATCTGTCTTTTGTACCATCAGCTACACCATCAAACATCACTGTGATCCCAAAAGTGAGTAATATCTGCTTAACTATGTTTGATGGGGTTCATCAGTGTTAACTTGATGTTGGCTAAAGTTATGTAAGATCTGCTAACATTCTGGTGTTAATAGCATGCATAGTCTTGCTAAAGTACACCAGGTCTAGACATAAATAGTTACATTGCAAAAGTCAGACATAAATCAGTGTCAGTTATCAGCAGTTCTTAACACATAAAAATGATTAAGGGTAAAACTACAGAATTCATCCTTCACTTAAGTGTGGCAGACTGATGAGAGCAGACATTGGTGTGAGGAGATGGCTGAAAGTGTTGTTCTCGCTATCTAAAGATTTCTTCTTTGCTGACTCAGTTCTTCCGCGTCTTTCCTCTCCTGACAGCAGGAATACTAGAAAAACGTTTTTTTGAAAAACACAGTTTTGTTTTCTGTTGTTGTTGCAACTATAAACCACACAACACACCATGGCTGTGTTTTATTTGCCAAAATGTAGTGTTGCACTGATACCGATACCGTGTCAGTATCGACGCCAGTATTAGCACTTAAACGCAGTATTGGTATCGGCGATGGGGATACTGATACCTATGACTGTTACCAAGAAGTTTGTTACCTGAATGGTCAGGCTTCTTTCAGTAATTACTCATCTGTGTAGTCACTTACAGTCTGAGTTAATGGTAGTCCAGATTGTTATTGAATGACAATGTTAGAGGGAGACAGTATGGAAGGAACCACTGAACTCTTGGTATAATGATAGCCTTTAGCTTTGATTTAGCCTTTAGTAGTGCAGTAGCGAGTGCGTTGACTAGCCCTTCCTGCAGTGCGCCTTCATCGGTCAGCTGTATCACGCAGCAGCAGGGTCTCACGGCCCGTTGCTTCAACGGCCACTCTTCAGTTGGAAAAAACACCTAAACTCACTGCCACTGACAGTATGAAAGATGGTAATATTTACTAAACTTCAGCGGAGTCCGATGTATGGAGATGTAAGCATGAGTGTGCAAGCCTCACATATGAGACAAATGACTTGAGAAATTCAGATGTGAAACAGCATTTAGCACTGTGTTTGCCGAGCCAGAGAAACAGCTGTACCAATGTATTGTACCAGTTCTGTTTTTAACTGTTTTGCACAAAAATGTACATTTATTTATGCTGTCAAATATGATTCTTATTAATTATTATATAGTAGTTAATACCAAATATATATAGTAAACAAATAAAAATATGTTTTCTTAAGCATCTAATGTATGTAATACAACAGGTAAATGCCAATTAGTCAAGTTGAGTGTGTTTTATTTGTGGCACAGAACATAGATTTTGCCAAAATAAAATATTTAAAAATGTAACTGTATAAACATCAGAACTTATAGGCTAGTTAGGTTAGATAGAGGTAGTATTAGTTTTGGTACTCAGTATCGGCCGATGCTTAAGGATCAGGTATTGGAAGGGAAGGTAAAAAGTGGTATTGGTGATCTCTGTTAGAATGCTTTATTAGCTAGCAGTGCACAAATGATGGGTGATGACTAAATGAGTGCGGAAGAAAGTGGCAAATCGATTGTATTAACTGGAGTCAGCGCTGCTCAGCGGCGTAAGACCAATCCCATAAAGAACGGGCTGGAGTGGGACCGGCAGGGGAGGGAGAGCGGGAGAGGGAGGAGAACAGGGATGCTGAGTCGTCCGCTTGTTTGTTTTGGCAGAAATACGCGAGGCCTTCAGGGTGCTGGATCGTGATGGCAACGGCTTCATCTCCAAGCAGGAGCTTGGAATGGCCATGCGCTCCCTAGGGTACATGCCCAGCGAAGTGGAGCTGGCCATCATCATGCAGAGACTTGACATGGATGGTGAGTTCCCATTCTTGACAAGTGAACATACATATACACAGGTTTGTTTTTGTAGAATGCCATACATACTGTTTTTATTGTAAATATCTGTGTATGTGATTATGATGGTTCCCATATGCCTCACACATGTATATTAAAGCCTGTAAATAACAAGAATTTTGTAAGCCTTAAAATTGGTAACAAACAGGGAATTTTGACCTTTCAAGAAATGAAAGAAGTAGCTTTATAAAAGGAATTTTACAAAATCAGTACTATTTAGTTGGTGTAACTAGTAAATGTTCCACCTTATGAAAGTTGTCTTCTTTGGACTGAAAAAGGCCAATCAGAACTGATTTAAAACCATTGAGATTTTGTGGTGCTACTTTGGGAAGTGTGTGGAGAAGAAAAATCCAACCACTATAGTCTGTAAACAGCAGTGAAGAATGTGTGCTTTGAAATCAGGGGTCCCAAAGTCACATCGCCTGGGGGCCACTAGCGAGGTTCTCCAAACAGGTGGGGCATTGGAGAAAATGCAGGAAAAAAAAGGTGCTTGTGATTTCTTCATGCAGTTGACAGTAACCATAAAGCAGCTGCAGTACATCATCCCACACTCTTTTCTCATTAGCTCTCTTATGTCCCTCATGGCTAAATTGTTCTGTGATGAATGGCGTGTGGTGGCTAACGGGCTACAAGATGATTGAGTGAGTAGAAAACTTAAACAGTGACATCTGTTCTAGCAGAGGTGAAGGAACACATTGTAACAGCTAAATTCATTCTCAGCCTAAATACACAAGTCTCAGATCTGGAAATTTGATTGGTGTTACTGTCATTGAAGAATTTTCACAGAAAGACAGGAGTTTGCTTTGCAAGTGTAGGTCTACTCTGAGTTCAAATGAATTATTGCATGACATAGATCTGTCTTATTGGAGTTACCAAAGAGCAGCAGTTCTCAAACTGGTTGTCTGCAAAAAAATCTTAGATTGCTTCAGTTTATTAAGTCTGTTCCCGCCAAATCTAAAAACATGATACTTGTTTAAAAGTGGTAGATGTTGTAAAACATTACTAAAATTAATGTGCCAACTGCTTACAATTCACAGCAATACCTCACACTCTAAACGAGCTAAATGTTAAATCATAGAGCAGTGCTTTGTCTCTAAAAGCAGGTTAATGATAGTTAGCATAATGGACAGGGTTGTGGCATAAAACTCTTTTCTGCCTTAGTAGCCCTAAGGTAACTTTAGATTTTTTTTCCATTAAAAAATGCTATAGCTATATGAGTGGCAAAATAAGCTTTATCAGAAGTATTTATCACTCCTAATAATTCAGCAGTTCAGCAATTCTCCTCTGTGATTATAGCCTCCTCGCTAACATTCCGCTACACCATATCTTATTTTGAGGGTAACTGTAGCTTCTCACTTTGCTGTTGCTCTTGTTAATTTGCTGCTGGTTGATTTATCCATACTTTCCCCAATATCTTCTTTTTTTTAATGTTTGTTTTTTCTTAAATTTGTTCTTGAGGAAGGTCCTAAGAAAACGTCTAAGTCAGATTCATGACGTGTTCTTAAACCACAGAACTGTTCACACCTTTGTGCTTTTGAGTGTGTGTAGATTCCTTTCTTACCTAAGAACAAATCTCAAATAAGAAAACACTGGTTAAGGTTAAAACTGTGTGAGTTTTAAGAAGAAATTTCCTCTTAAGAATGGTTGGTGAATGAGGTCTTTTCATCTTATCAACAGAGCCGTCAATGGAACTTCTTGCCATTTAAAAGCTGTATTTGAACAAGACATCTACAGCACAGAAGCTGCTGGGCTTCATATCATACAATACACGATATGTATCATGGTACTTAGACATAACACACTAGTAGTGCCACATTTACAGACAGCCATCAGAAATTCTGGGCATACTGATATTCATTCAATATTTTACGTACTGTACTGCACTAAATCCAGTGCTGGCGAAATGAAATGCTCCCCAGTAGAGTGAGCTAGAGTGATGTGTTTTTTCCCATTTGAAGCTAGAGAAATAGCACTAAAATGCAAGCTCACGTTTATTGTTGTGGGTCGTTTACATCATGCGGAAAACTACTGCCTAAAAAGGGGCGTAACTTGAATAACTTTTAAAATTTACTTCTAATATCATAGTTAAACATTATTTTTCAAATAAGAACTGCAAAAAAAATTAAGCTTCTTTCATGGTACCGTGGTTTTATGGGCTAATTTACAAATACAGTGTGCAGAAATATTTATGGATTGACACATTTTATTAGCAGAGGTTGTCTGGAATCCAGGGACATATCGCACTTTGAAAGTGAATGTACAGAAGCGAAAGTGTGTCAGTGTAGGTCGTAAAGGGTTAAGCAGGAGTAATTACGCTCTCTTTGTAATGAGCAGTTGGTCAGTGTTCTTTAAGTACTGACACAGTGCTCAGAGAATCATATCTTTTATCATGATAACAAAATGTATCATGATAATGATAAAATATCGTCATATTGCCCACCTCTATGGTGGAACTATGGATGGTTTTAATGGGAGCTACTAGGAAAGTACATTAACAGCGTTGATAAATTAGTGGCATTAATTTGTTGCATTATTAATGTGTTAACTTTGACACCACTGTTAATTTCTTAGTTGTAACACACTGAAACAGGTGATGTTCTGTTGAAAGTGATGTTTGTAATCTTTCAATTATAGCAGTTTTGGATTAAATGAGTTTTTGAAAATGATAAGAGCTAATGAATAATGTAGTAGTGGCATTAATCATAAAATAGCTTAGGCCTGTCACAGTTAGTACATAATCGCTGAATGACAGTTATTTGAGATTATTGAAATGATTTGAGATGATGGCATTTATTTAAGCTGTCTGCAGTATTTTTCCACAGTCACTAGATTTCACAGATCTATTATGCTGCAGCACACAAAATGTGAATTATGTGTTGGGTTGAGGCAAATAGTTGTAAATAAAAGAAAGCTCTTTATGCATTCATTGAGACACAATGAGAATTATGATAACAAAAAAGATCTAACTTGGTGCTCTAGCATGTTTAGAGGGCAGCACTCAGTAATGTTTGTTTGTTTGTTAGCTTTGTAGCTGCTTCTGATGTTGTCAGCATGTATACAGGAAGAATGTTTTGCTTATATTTTCCCTCTTGTGAAGAACATTTTTTTTAGTCTAATTCTGTGTAACTGTAGAATTTTGTGTGTATTGATTTGACAGTACAACCAGTTTTAGCTACTAAGTAAACATAGGTAGCAATTAAGGTGGTAAATCAGCCAGTTTGGCCGCTTTAGGTTTGTATTTTAACAGTTTCATTTTAACAGTGGTATTTTAATAGTTGTATTTTTAGTTCTCACAAGAAAAGACATATCACCAATCACAACTATTTATTTGACAGTTAATTGTCAGCTAAGGTTTCAGTGTATTTATTTCATTTAATACAGGTGGCTTAACTGTAACACAGTGTAACAACTAACCCCACAGTATGGAGGCCTAGTTAGCACTTGCTGTGAGCTTGTCTCAGTACGCTTCAATACTCTGCTACATTGTAGGAAACAAGATGCTGATTAAAGTAATATAAGGTTGGATTTTGTCATTTACACAAAAAGCTCTGTAACTGAAAAAACTTGTGCTGAAAAAAAAGTGACTTACATGCCCTAAAAAAACACTCTTTGGCACAGATCTCTTTAAAACACAGCTGAATCGCTCTGAATTTTTGTGGGAGACCGTGGCTAGGAAATGTGGTGATGCAGCCAGAAGCACACGCTGCTTGACCTTGTATAATAACATTAAAAAGTCCATGTTAAATTGTGCCCCATGTTAGTTTCTTCACTGTGCTCCCCTAATTAAGTAATTCTATATGTATGTTAATATAAATAATTATTTAATGAAGACCAAATATAATAATAAAATCTGGACTTCTTGGTTAGTGCTGTAATGTTGGGCCATAACGATGATGTCGCCAGTTTAAATGCCATTTAAATGTACCTTCATGCTCACATAATGATCTATTCACCTATGCTTTGTCACTCTTTGCTGTCTGAGCAGCCTGAACTCTCCTATGAGTCACCCAGGGTCAGGTTAATGCTCTTATTCAGAGGTGTGTTTACTTCCAATATAACTGATGTCTTATTCATAACCAGCCAGACGGCTGTACGTTCGCAGTGCGACACGTCGTAGATGACACAATCAGCCTGCTGCTGCTTCGTCTAATACACGGAGCAGGGTCATATTCCCACAACTATTTGCTTCATTTTATCTGAGCTTAGCCCCGCAGAGCCACACATAAGTCTCAAGGTTGTAGGCACCGAGGCAAATATATAGAGAGAAGATGGCATTTTCTTGCCGTGCATTTGACTGTGCCTTTGGAAGTTAATGGTCTGTGTAATGTGAGTGCGTATGAAGGCCGTGCGTGGGGGAGAAAGCTGGGGGTCACTGCCCTCATCATCAGCAAAAGGCTACGCTCATTTACACCTGCTCTCTATGAACCCGCAGCACTGCGCCCGTATTGTGGCGGGCATCTGTAACCCCAAACCTGGTGGCATTTAAAGCAGCTGTAACATCTGATTCAGCACCACACAGACTGACTAAGCTTGGTGTGGCTCATATATGCGAACGATTTGGCTGCTGAATCCGGTGCATGATGCAGAATACAGTCTGATGCAAAGCTTTCAGTTATTGCTGGGTCTCCGCTGAGGTGTCCAGTCTTATCTTATCCGCAAAGGGCTGGTGTGGCTGCAGGTTTTCATTCCAACCAAGTAGAAGCACACTGAGATCAAGTGATTAACAAGACTGATTAACATCGAATGAGACCAACTGATTAAGAAGTGGAATCAGGCGTCTGTCTTATGAAGCAGGATTTATGGCTTAGCCAATTAACTTTAAGCTCAGTTCAATCTAACCTTGGATTTTCTGTCTCACAGCGGTGGATCACTCTTTTACCAAGATAAATCACCATGGCAACTTACACTGCAGGCTTAGTTCAAGATTTTGAATCATAAATGGCTCTGATGATGGAGGTGGACCCCCCCGATGACTATTTTTCTTTTTTGTGACGTTTGTGGCAGAAATCACATGAAGAATGTCGCTTTTTAGCAGATGAAGCAACTTACACTACATAAAAATTAAGAAAATAAAGCAGTTATTGTATGGTGGTATGGTGGTAGTGGAAACGTTGCCTTTTTTCTGTTATGCTTTACTGTATACGTATTTATTTGAGTTTCTTCTTCCTTGAACTTCTCTTGTTTCAAGCTGTCAATCATAGGTTGAATAATATTAACCTGAGTTATCAGAGAAAATTTGAACCGTCTCTGTTAAATTAGTTAACCACCACTTAATTTGGTTTTGTGAAGCTCAAACTTAGTCAGGAACCCTGTCTCTGTTAAACTCGCTTTGGCTTGCAGGCCCCAAGCTGTGATCCTGCTTGCATGGAATGAAAATCTGCAGCCACCTGTTGTGGATCAGACTGGACACTCTTGCTCAGCTTTTCAAAATGGTTTAAATGGTTTCAATGACTTTACAGTAACTTAGTAATGTTAATAACATTAATAATATTAGTAACATAATAAGTTTTATCAGGTTTATTGAGTTAAGAAATTCACTGTAAACATTTGTGGTAATATGTAAGGCAATAAGTTATTGTGATGTCAGCACTTATCAGCACTCATATGTTTCAACTGTTTTCTTTTTGTGTTCATTTTTTTAAGATAAATTGGGGAAAAAAAAGAGTTCCAATATGTTTTTCTAACAGTAGTGTGGAAATGCACAAAGTGCTCTTCATAGGAAGATGCTTTGATAACATGAAGCCAAGTCCTGCAAACTGCACCCAAAGTATTAGCAAGTGCACTGTTGTGTCAAAGTCAGGGACCACCCTTCATTTAAATAATCAGTAATTTCCAATTAAGGTGATCATGAAGTACAAGTTTGCAGCATCAGGAAAAAAAGAGAAACACATATTTATTACAGAGATACCACAACAACTAAATATAACTTAAAAATGTTCAGTATTTTAGGTGTCCAGCCTTGGCCAGCCTTTGTTACAGCTTCCATTCTTTAAAGAATACTTGCTTTCAGTTTTTCAAAGAAATCTGCTAGGATGTTTTTACACACCTGCAAAGTTTAGTCTTAGAAGTTGTTTGCATTTTCAGCTTCTCACAAACACATTCAGTGAAGCTGAGGACTGGACTAACGGCTTCTTTAACAGCTACACATCCTGTCAGACTCAGGGTGTTGATTTGTCGTCTCACAGTGGAAGGATGGCCAGAAACGTCTAGGATTTTTTTCAGATCTGAAGTAAGAGTGGAGTGTGATTTCCTCCTCTCTCTCAAAGATGAAATTTTCTCTGTATCTTTTCAATTTTTTTTTATCTCCAATTTTGGAAACTTTTTTTATGCAAGTGAATTATCTTATATATAATCTCTCCAGAAATATCTCTTGAAAATTGAATGACTTTTTAATAAATGGCTATTTTGACTGGAAATTAACTAAATAAAGGATCTCTGACTTTTGTCATATGGTTCTTGAAAAGTAACAGTGAGAAGATTCACATGTAAAAAGAAAGAAAAATTGCTCCAAACAAGTCTTGCATGCCCTTTGTCCTGGTCTTGTTGGTCTCCGGCTTTTAGGTTCTGCCCAGTTAAAGGCCTCAGCCCCATGGTAATTGTCAGTTGGCAGCCAGCAGACAGTAGGTGAATTTGATCAGTCAGTGCAATCAGACGGATGAGCGTCTCTGTGCCTGAGGAGTCGCTTACAGTCCTGGAATGAAGCTGAATTAAGTGCGGTTGACTCATCTGCTGAGAAGAGCAAGAGATCAGACAGCAGAGGCACTCACTGCACAGCACCGGGTGCTTCGGTCAGGTCAGCGCCAGAGGAGGAAGAAGATGCGGCACTGACATTTAAAAAAGCACCTTGCGCTTTTGTTTATTCCGCTTTACCTCTTCCGCTGATGATTCATCAGCGCTGACTCACAATGAAGAGCGAGTGAGGCAGCACTTGAGTTTAAGGTCCCTATTTGAGAACTTCATAGAACATTCTAATACATAACGGCCTGCAGTAGATAACACTGCCTAGGGCTATAAACCATTCAGAACCATTCAGTACCATTCAGTCAGGACTGTGAAGGTCATTCCAAAAGCTTCAGCTTGTATTCCTTGACGCAGTTCATGGTGGATTTTGAGGTATGTTTTGGATCATTGTCCTGTTGTACAAGCCAGACTCTTTCTCAGTGTATTGACAAATTACTTTCCAGAATTTGCTTTTATATACAGGACTCCATTCTTCCACCTACTTGTTCAGTGTTTCCTGTGCTGATGACCATTTTTACTTCATCAGTCCATGGCACATGTTTCCAAGATGGCTCTGGTTGATCTTTATGTTGTTTCGCATACTTAAGACCCTGACCTGTGTGGGTCTTAAGTATGGTAACGTTTCTTTCTGATGAGTCTTCCATGCAGATCATGCTAGTGCAAGTAATGCTGAGTGTTAGCTCAAGGTTTAAAGAGTCAGAGAATTTATTACGCTCTGGAATTGTCATGAGTTGACAACTTCTAATGACAATTCTTGACCCGCCTAACTAGTGCTGATGAGTCAGTCAAGGTGTAACAAGTGTATTAAGTTCTGTGACTTTACAACTGGAAGGATGTCCCAACTTTTGCACATGCCACTATTACTATTTAATTTTTTTGTTATACGTTAATAAAAATTACCCTAACTGTGCATTAACATTTGCAGAAACATGTTATTTTTTATCTTTAGGTTTGTTGCAGATGTTGTGTTCCTCTTTTTTCTACAAAAATAAACAAAACAAGATATGTCATTTGTCCAGGGAAGCCCAAACTGTTGCAAACAGCTGTAGGTTTACTATCTAAAACAGTCTCCCAACTGCATATCATACAGTCTCCATTTTATATGTTTATTTATAGCCAATGGTGAAGAGCTGTTTAAAGGGTGGTTCTTACTCACTGCAAAATGTATTGTTTCCTGCATTCAGGGATCGCCCATTCAGGGGTCAGTGGAGCCAAAATGGCAGCACTATTGGTCAAGAATGTGAATTTGCATGTCAGAGTTCACCAAAGTTGAACTTGACGTGGAGTTTTGTCCATGAAATTTGTTCACCCCAGAGATCTGTGATGCAAAAAAACTAATTTCACCAAATTCCATTGCAGTTGCTTTCAGTACACTAGTGTGAGTGGGGCTTTTAGAAGAGCTAATCTCTGCGCAGCTGTGGCCTGGCAGGAGCCAAGTTTAACACCCCTGCTTTAGATCAACATGTTTTTATAAAACATGAGTGAGGCATGTCCAAACTTTTGACTAATATTGTATGCTATGAATGTTGACAGTTTTTCAGATGTAATGCCATTCACACTGTCTGTGTGTCTGTTTGTATATCTTTTTATCTGTCTGGCTATTTATCTATCTTCTGGAAATAGTTGAGGCGGGTGACGACAACCAGTCTGTGTTTAATTTATTTGCAGGAGACGGACAGGTAGATTTTGACGAGTTCATGACGATACTGGGCCCAAAGCTTCTGTCTTCCGAAACGCGAGAAGGCTTCCTTGGAAATACAATAGACAGCATATTCTGGCAGGTAAGCATCCATAGCATAAGATTTACATATCTTCACAAAAATGCTTATGCTTAACATCAACATAAGGATCTACAAAGCATTGCCTGAAGCATTTGCTGATCTCGCTTGTGGATTATTGCTATCTTTAAATGCTGTATATATGGTATAAGTCGCGAATGGATTGTCAGGACTCAGCTATCTCGAATCTGCTTTACGTATGGATGATGTACCCACATTGTTCCACTGCTGAGTGTGTGCTTGGTGTCAGCGATCAGATATGCTGATACGGCTGTGTAATCCTGCAGGCGTGGTGAGGCTAGTCTGATCAGGCAGGGTGATGGATGTGTTTAGTAGAAGCATGCTGGGATGGAATCAGGCATGGTGAGAGAGGAGAGATACTGTACTAGCATCCGCAGCTCCAGCTCCACAGCGTGATGGAGCGCTGTTTGACTCTATCGCGGAAGATGAAGTGCAGAGAGTGCTGGGCCCAGTTGTCAGAGGGAGGTGCCCCTGACCTTAGCCAGCCTGTCAGGACATGTCAGTGCTCTCCATTCAAACAGCTGACAGACTGCAGAGGACAGGAAGACCTTCTCCATATGCGATCTGTCTGATAGAGAATAAGAGATTTTTTTCTTTGCTAGTGGGGATGTTTATTTTAAGAAACCATCACATATTTAAAGTGATGATCAAGACTGGCTGCAGTTGTCAAGCTTCTTTGAAATCCTGCTTTCAAACCGCATTAATAAACACCTTCAGCTCTCTAAAATGTATAAAAGGTAGCTTTAGTTTAAAACTAGAGCTACGAGGCTAACATTGCTAACAAACACTAGAACCCGATAGTCACCCATATAGCCCAGAGCTTTTCTGTACATCACCAAAATATACCACCAAAACTTCTTTCAACCCATTCAGACCACATACAGGCCTTCATTAAGGTTGTGCAGACTTATTGATGTGGTTTAAAGTACAGTGTGACATAAAAATGTTACTTTCTTACATATGAAGTCTTACTTTTACGAAGAAAAATAAACAAACCTTCACCACCATTTCAGACAAAACCAAGGCTGGTATTCACAAAGCAGGACTGATCTTGGATCAGATTATTCAATATCTGTGGTTGTCGTTGTCACAAATACTGATCTTAGATCAGTACTGGTTCTCCTGATGTGGTTTGTGAATGCAGATCCTGTTGTTTGAAACAGGTCACCTATGTAGCTCACAGTAAGTCATACTGTGCCCTAAACCGATTGACGAGTCTGCATGACTTTAATGAAGACCTGGATGTGGTTTGAGAGATGTTTCGGTGATGTATTTTTACACAATTGATTTGTGCTATTTGGGTGACTATTGAGTACGAGTGTTTGATAGCAATGTTAGCCACTCCAGTTCTAAATTAAAGAAGCAAAATTTGTCTTCCAAACCTGTCTTGGCTGATCTGGGTTAAGCGGAAAATGGTGTTTATTTGTTTTTTCGACATTTCTTCTAAGCACGACTTCAACAGGGAAAATTTAATTTATGCAATCTTCGTGTTACCCCTTTTGTCTTAGCCAATCAAATAAGACGTTTGAAATTTGAAAGCAACTGTCTACTGATTTAGGAACAATGCTAATTTTTGGGTGTACTTTAGCTGCTTTAGCATCCTAGCACCGAACGTTTCCTCGATGTAATTCTCCTTGAACTGCAGCATACTCTTGGAGCAGTCATGTAGTGCTAAATTGACATATCTTGGTTGTTCCTTTAACTGAGCTGTCTTGTAGTTATAATTTATCATTACGTCTTGTTCGGCTTTGGAAAGAGGTGCTAGGAAGTCACCCGGAACACTGTGATTCCCACCAGGATCCTATGCGATTAAGCACAGCAATTGACTCTCCTCTTTGCATTTTCAGCTAGGGCCATCTGACTCATTCAGTCCTGCTTTAATGCACAATAGAGCGTGTGATGACTAAGCTCTACCCCCTCCGAGTGCTGTCTGGTTCAGTACTCAGCGCTTAGGGGCTGGTGGGTGTTCTCAGCTCAGACTCCCGCCTTTCTGGCCTGAGAGCTCGGTGGCAACATCTGAGACGACTAAAGTCAGTTCTACTTGTCTCCTTGTCTAATTTCATATATAATTCAGCCATACCATCTTCTGGTATGGCTAGCATAGCAACTTGGTATAGCAACTTAAGCTTAGGGAGCTAGGCTAAAGAGAAAAAAATCTCAACAAAATGCCAATATAATGAAGCAAATAAATAAGCTGAAATAAGCAAAAGTTTGGGTGCCCCTTTTCAAATTTCATGTTTTGTTAAAGTGAAAGTAAGTTAACACATCCTCTACTCAGAACACATTTCTGTACATTTTAAACCACAATTACTGTTTATTTGCTGAATTGAACATATTACAAAAAGTGTGTTCTGTGCAAGAGTTATGGCACATTTTACATTTTCTATATTTATGTTTTCTATATTTCTATATTTTATATATTACTTTTAATAAATAGAAAATGTGCAGGATAAAAATATGCAGAAAAATGTCATATTTAAGTGTACTCTATATAGAGGATGTACATTTTTTTCATTAATAAATGCAGATTTGACTAGAAATGTTTTACATATGACTGTATTTAATGTTTTGTTTAGGTTAGTATTTTGTTGCATATCCCTTCTTTTGGATAATAGTTTGAAGTCTTTTAGACATGAATTGCATGAGTTTGCATGACAGATGCTCAGCCAGGCTTGTTGGATTTAGAAATTTTCATTGTATCTACAGTCTTTCTCAGACATTTTACTGCCAACAGACTGTTTTTGATAGACTAATTTAAAGCAATATCTTCCACAATGTTAATGAGGTTTTGTATTGCTTTGTGTTGCTTTAAAACTGTAATACAACGGAGTATGACGCTGTGGTTTGATTTTATGTGCCACTTTTAATGCTTGACTAACTAATGACGGTGCGAACGTTATATTCACCGAAGACTGTTAGCTAGGTGGATGTTTCAGATCAGGAAATTACATCATTTACATCAGACATGTTCTCTAATTGTGAGCAGTCGAGGCTGTTATGCATAGAATGTTTATGGTGGGATGACGGTACATAAATTGAGTGTGCACTCCATTATTATAATTAATAAACATATCTCTAACCCATAGGTGATCGCTCATAAACATTACTCATAAACATGACAAACATACTGTGGTAACAGTTCTTTAAGTTTACCTGTCCTGCTAAACACAGACGCTTACTGAAGTTAATCATCCTCTGTGGTTCATAAGGACCTGGAGACTGGTGGCACAGTCAAAGTGTGCCACTATTATCAGACTCTCACTACCAAGCCTGCCACCATAAATCACAGGAGGAGAGGACAAACAGTGATGGGGCGAGACTGAATGAGCTTTCCGTTCATGACCAAGAGCTCCTTCTCCAATGTCCCAGCAGATGCTATCTGAATACATTAGAATGCCTTAACTTTCCATAAAGCACAGAGAACGACCCCAGCTCCTGAAGCACCAGTGGGACGGGTCACTTCAGAGCACCAGGCTCAGCCGTTGTGGGTTTAATTATGTTTTATGAATGGCTCCCCAGGCTTCTTGGAGGACGCCGCCGTTAAGTATTTATTTGCTCCTCCGCCCTTCTGTATCAGACCTGCTCCATCACAGGCTGCATCACTTTTCTGCCCACGCCGCTGAAGGCGGGGACATCTCTTACTTATTGATGTTGGTCATGTATATCAGGTCAAGCAGTAAATGTGAAGGTGCTATTGTGTTTTTTTGGATGTCTCATAATACATATGTATACCAGAGAAGTCTATGAGGCTGTAGATACATTGTAGGCCTGATATATATATATATATATATATATATATATATATATTATATATATATATATATATGAGATCAGTGAACCAACATGTGTCTTCTGAGTTTTTAAATGTAATGTTGATGGTGGTAAAGTAGTGGTAAATCTGAAAAAATAAACATCCTGTATGTTTACAAAATTCCTGCATAATTAAAAGTTGTAAACAAAGTCATTCAGAGTGGTTTGGTGTGAAATGCTGTGTTCTAGAGAAACTTACCTAATCAGATTTGTTTACAGGTGTGATAGGAACCAGATGTCTGACATCTCAAACTCCCTCACAGAAAGCGATCACATGAAATGGTTATGCTGCTCAGTGTAATACAATGTTTTATCATAGTTTTGCTAAGAGTTTGGCCTATTTTTTTCCATTCGAGGTGACGTGGTACATGGAGGGGGTTAAAGGGCAAAGTAGAACCTTTTTTTAAACCACTATTTCACCATTTTTTTAACATTACATCTAAAAGATCCAAAGACACGTGTAGGTTCACTGGTCTTTTTGGATAGTCAATAGAATAGCTAGAAATATGTCGTAGACATTGTATCCTCTGGTTCCCATCACCACCACTGTAAAGTCCAGTATGTTTATACACAGCGAACCATTTTACATCAAACCACCCTGAGTCAGTTTGTTTACATCTGAACGACTGAAATAGACAGAAATAAAAAAAAATCTATGTAATTCTCCTTTAAACCGTTCAGACGTCTGGTTCCTATCACCACTGCTGTGCACATTCCTGACACTCATTTTCTCTAGAGCAGAGCATTTCACATCAAACCACTCTGAAGTACTTTGTACATCTTTGTACTTCTTAAACATCTAATTATGCAGACATTTGGAGAAATCAATGGAGAATTAAACACTGAAACCCAGTTCCACACAGCCATGGAAATAGAAGTCTCTGTCACTGAGCATCAGGCTGGATGACAACTGAAAAAAAGATCCTAAGGTCCTCTGCAAATTACTACAAATTACTGCTAGGGTTGTTTCTACCTCAAAAACCAGTTGGTGATTATGGTGATGGCAATGCTGTCCTTTTTCATGGTCAAATAATTACTACCCTCATTTACAAATCCTCTCAAAATGTGTAATTAGGACTAGTTGAAAGGTACAATCAGTAACTTTAGAAAAAGATTCATTTTTGGTCCCATTTTTGGTTCATCAATTAAAATGTTAAAATAGACTTTTTCAT